TCTCTCTCTCTCTCTCTCTCTCTCTCTCTCTCTCTCTCTCTCTCTCTTTCTCTCTTTCCCTCTCCCTCTCTCCCATCTCTATCTGTTTATCTGTCATCCATAGAAGCCTGTGTTTGTGTATACATATATTTAGGTTGTTAAAAATCAAATTCTATATTAGAAAAATGTGGTAGAAACTTCACCTAAGAATTCTCTGCATCATTGAAATCACAGTTTTAATGCCTACAAATGTCTATATATATGTATGTATGTATGTATGTATGTATGTATACCTTTGAAATATAATGGTCCCTTTTGGTTTCATTCAACTGAATTGAAGTACACATGATTACTGTTATAGTTATTAACTTATTTCATATTTATAAGAACTCAATGGAATAATTTTGATTAAAGCTTTGTCTTACCTAAAATTGACATGATAATAGTCACTGTCTCCTTCCTAGATCTCAACATTATGAATTTAACTATATTAAAAATAATGACAGTATTATAGATTTAAAGATGGAAAGGACCTTGAAGGCAAGCTCCTCATTTTTCAGATGAGGAAACAGAGGCCCAGAGAAGGGTAATGATTTTCCTTCACACCAGTACAGGAAGCAACTTAGCAGGATTAGTTGAGTAATCATAAGATTAGAAATTGATTAATTTCATAGGTACTTATTTAGCAACTTATTAATATGTTTTTTTAGATAAGCCAAAAAAAGATTATCTATTTGGGAATTATATGTCATCATTCTATGTAAAGCATACTGCAGTTTTTTTGGTAATGAACTGAAATGAAATAAAAACAAGAAATATGGTGTGAGGTAGATATGAAACATGCTATTGTTGAATCTTATATTACCTACAATGTCATTTAAGCATTTTACTCTATTTTGCAGTTCCGAACCTTTGACCCATGTAAACAGCTATGGTGTAGCCATCCTGATAATCCCTACTTCTGTAAGACTAAGAAAGGACCCCCACTTGATGGGACTGAGTGTGCTCCTGGAAAAGTGAGTATATCTCATTCAAACTTGAACCTTAAGATGTGCTGGTATGTGTTTGCATAAAGGGGGGTGAGAAGTCATAGAGAACGTATCCCTCTCTTTTCCCCACTGTATTGGCAAGTCTAAATAACCACTGGTGTTTCAGACTTCAATGTAGTTAGACTTTGAGTTAAAATTCAAAGCACTAACTACCTTAACGCAGCTTGTGCCCTCTTGGTGGGATTGAAATTGCTTTCTGGGCTCTTCCTTCTGAAAGTTTCTTGGCATTGATGTTTTGTAACCCCATACAGAAGAAGTACTTACTTTACGGGGAAAGCTGCCTGGAGTGCCTTAAACCTCAAAGGGATATAAGTTGGACTACTTAGACAATTCTGGTCAATGGACAGACTATACTACTCACAGAAAAAACAAACAAACAAACCAAAAGCCATATTGAGATCTCCAGTGGACAAACCTTGTCTACATTAGCAGTAAAATATTTTTTATTCATTTTTCAGTTGTGTCTCACTCTTTGTGACCCCGTTGGGGTTTTTCTTTGGCAAAGATACTGGAGTAATTTGCCATTTCCTTCTCCAGCTCATTTTATAGATGAGGAAACTGAGGCAGCCAGGGTTAAGTGACTTGCCCAGGGTCACACAGATAGTAAGTGTCTGAAGCCAGATCTGAATTCATAAAGAGGAGTTTTTCTGACTCCAGGCCTAGTACTCTATCTACCCCACCTAGCTGCCCCAATAAAATAATGTACATTAACTAAGAATTTTTTTTCATGATGACTTCAGCCTTGCTAAGGCACCTTGTTCACACCTCTTTCTTAATTTTACCCAAACTGTTTTACTTATAGCTCCAAATAGTCGCCAAAATAATATTCCAGAACACAGTTCCCTCCTCCTCTCAGTAAACTCCAGTGCCTCCCTAACACCCATAGAATCTATTATAGATTCCTCTTTGGGGCATTTATAACACTTTGTAACCTGACTCCAACCTACCTTTCCAACCTTGTGATTAATTCCTTCCCTTGTTGTATTCTTGGCCCAGCCAAACTGGCCTTACAGTGGATCATACAAGACATTCCATTCCAAAGACCTCCATGCCTTCTCACTTGCAGTGCTCCATGCCTGGAATGTATTCCCTTGTCACTTTGACCTCTTCTGGGTTCATGTAAAATGTCACCTCCTACATGAAACCTTAACAAACTGTTTCTACTCCCCCCATTACCATGAATATATTTTATGTGTGTGTATATATTTGTTTATATATGCATGTATATATACTATATAATATGTTATGTATTATTTAAGATATAGTTAATATATAAATTATGTCATTACTTTAATTCTATTAGTTGATTATTAATTATTATATTAAATATTTTATATATTATATATTAACTATGTGATAGTATATAATATATATCCCTTCTCCCAGAACTTAGTACACTGCCTGGTACTTGAAAGCACTTCATAAAAGCTTATAGATGAATTGACTGATAGCTCACACTTTATTCACATAGGCATCTTTTTCTTTAAGAAAGACCAGCATTCCAAAGCCAAAACTTCAAAAACAAATGATTTAGAGTTGATGCTTTATTTTAAAATAAAAGTTTTCTGGTAGGATGTCTCTAACAAGACAGCTGTCCTGAAAAACCTGGATGATAATCCATCCTATGCTAGTTCTTACCCATGGGAAGGTTGGCAGTTCACTTAATCTTTCTGAGACTAAGTCTTTTAACCTTCTTATAAGGTTGTTTTAAGGCTCAAAAGAGATAGAGAGTGTGTGAGAAAGGGTTTTGAAAATGAAGTTCTGTGTGGATAGAATTTATTATTGTTGTTATGTAAATCAATATACGCCACTGCTACTGTTATTTTAAAGGGCATAAATCTTGCCTTTGGGGGAGCTCCAAGACTGGGGTTGATGATAGATGTGAGAGAGGGTAGAATCAGAGCATCCCTCATTCTAGTGCCCTGGGTGACCCCTACATTCTTGTCGGTTATGACAAGCTCCTTCTGCTTTAGTGTGGACTTGGTAACTGTTAGAGTTGGGATAGGGGCATCTCTAGAAACTCTTCTCACTACTCCAGAAAGTTGTAAACAATTAAATTAAATTGTAAGTTCTCTTATATTAATACTTTTGTTTTTGCTATGTATGTAATTTAAAAAAAAATCTCTTCATTCTTCTCTGCTTCTTCGTGTTTGTAATTATTTAGTTTCATTTAGGGAAATAGTATAAAAGCTACATCTAAATTCCTTTTTCTACAATGTAAATTTCAGGTTTTATATTATGTTCAGGGCTAATTTAAAAAATTTCCTTTAACTGAGAAGTGGAGAACAGGGGCTTTTATCAATCAATCAGTGATCAATAAATAATTATTTGCCCAGGGTCCATTATATTCCAGGCATTTACATTCTGTTGGGGGAGATAACATGTGTGTATAATTATGTACATAAGGACACTCTGAAGATCTCTCTGAAGAATGTTGGAATTGATTGTGAGACATGGGGGACAGTGGCACAGAACTGCCCACCATAGTGTGTGCATATCAAAGAAGACACTGTGCTCTCTGAGCAAAGTACAAATGCAGTAGCTCAAAAGAAACATGAGATGTGCAAACTTAGAGCCATCTCCACCCCAAGTGTTCATATGGACTATTTGTGCCCAACTTGTGATTCCAAGCTCATATTGGTCTAATCGGTCCCAGTCGGACACAGTGTACTTTGACCCCAACGTAGTGATGTCATTTTGGTCCTCTTTGAGAAGAAAGGACATCTAGAGCACACACACACACACACACACACACACACACACACACACACAATTTAGTATACCATATGCTATACAGCCAATGTGTCTGGGACTTGAACCAGCTCTTCCTACTCCCTCCAAAGCCATTTGTCTATCCATTATATCATGCTGTCTCCTTACATACGTCCATACAGAATATGATTACCACCATTGCAAACTACTGCCAAAGTGGTTTTCCTACAGCACAATTCTCACGGTTCTATTGTCTCCCCATTAAATGTCACTGGTTACCTTTTATTTCTGGGATCAAATATAAAACCCCATTTGCTATTTAAAGTTCTTTACAACCTGGCCTCAGCCTAGCTCTCCAGACCCATTTGTTTTATTCCCTTCTTTGTACTCATTGGTCCAGCCAGAGTAAATTTATTTCTTTGTTCTTCACATACAACATTCCATCACTCATCTCTGTGTCTTTGCACTGGCCGTGTTCCATTCCTGGAAGGTCATGCTCCCTCCTCATCAATGCATTTTCAGAACCCTGCTTTCTGTCAGGACTCATAGCAAGTGATATCTTCTGCATAAGTCTTTCCTCAGGTGCTAATGTCTTTCCCTACCATGGTCACCTTAAATTTCTCTGTGTATGTTTTGTATCAACTATATATGTGCTTAGGGCAGCTAGGTGGCATATTGGATAGAGCACCAGGCCTGGAGTCAAGAAGACCCAAATCCGGCCTTAGACACTAGCTATATGACCCTGGACAAGTCACTTAACACTGTTTGCCTCAGTTTCCTCATCTGTAAAATGAGGTGGCAAGACACTCCAGTACCTTTGTCAAGAAAATTTCAAATGAGATCATAAAGAGTCAGATACAACTGAAAAAAATCACTCAACAACAACTACAAATATATGTCTCCCTGTTAGAATATAAACTCCTTGAAGGCAGGGATTGTTTTACTTTTGTCTTTTTATCTCCAGTATTGATATAGAGTGGGTACTTAAATGTCTGTTGATTGATTGATATGCATCATCTTCCATTTCAGCAGGTGAATTATTTTTATATCATTAATTCATCCATATTAATTATGTTAATAATCCAGTTCATATCTTGATTTTTCTCAAGTGGTGCTACAAGGGTCACTGCATGTGGAAGAATGCCAATCAAGAGAAGCAGGATGGAAACTGGGGGTCCTGGACCAAATTTGGCTCCTGTTCTCGTACATGTGGGACAGGTGTTCGCTTCAGGACACGTCAGTGCAATAACCCAATGTGAGTGAGAATGTATTGTAGGGTAATCGTGTGACTGTTGTTATTAGTAGGCTGTTTGACATGTTGGACTCAAACCCTAACCTCAGAGTCATTTCTATGGAGCAGCCAATCCCACTTGGAAATTTGGGCAATTCCTTCTATATCCATTTCATGAGTAAAAAGGAAAAAAAATCCACTAAAATTTACAATAAACTTCCATATTTGGAGTAGCACGAAATAGCCCTTACATGGGTAGCATTCTCTATGGGTTTACCATTCTAACTTGGTGCTTTTACTCTCAGGTTGTGTCCCCAGAGGGCAGCTACTCTTCCCAGACTCCAGGATAGAATTTGTAGAACTTTTGGTCTGTTCTTTGAATACCATATCTCAAGAGCCTTGGCTAATATTCTTCCTATCAGCAGCCAGTCAAAGCAAAGGCATTTGCTAAAATAACATAATGAAAACAAGCAACTATAAAACGTTTCCAGTTGTTGCTATGTGAATCAGTATATGCCATTGCTACTATTATTTTAAAGGATATACATATCGATTTTGGGGGAGCTCCAAGACTGTAGTTGATGATACACATGAGAGAAGGTAGAATGAGAGCATTCCTCATGGTGTTACAGCCTCCTCCTAATATCTGCAGCATTTGTAAGAGTGGGCACAAACTTAGAGTATAATAGTAGTAACACATGAGAAACACATGTAGTGAAGGCTACTCCCTCCTCTGCTACTGCCTGGCTGAGAAGTCCTTTCTTTCCCGTGGAGGTTTCACAAAGCTCCACCCTTCTTGCCATTTCACCTCTGGATGGGGTGTTCACCTGGTATCCCAGAGTCCGCTCCTCTCTATGGTTTAACGCTTGATTGCCAAGGCTGTCTTGGCAATAATATTTTAAAATAGTCAGCTCTGTTCTTTTCTGACAGAGAGCCCACTCCTCTAATCTTCTGGTCTCAATTGACTGCCTTTCTGTATCAATGTCTATCAGGAGTATTTGTGCCTTGTTCAACTATAATTTAAATTCTCTTGAAGTGACTTTCTAAGGGCTGGATGGGTGCTTCCCTTTGGAAAGTAGTTCCATTGCTAAATATTATGGTAGGTGGAGGGAAAGGGGATAAAAGGAGAAAAATCCCCCCTTTCTCTTGCAAAAGTTTTTTTCCCTCAAGGGCCAGGTTGTTTTCCTATTCGGTGCTCCTGGAGCAGACTGTGTTAAGCTCTCTTACTTACTATCATTTAAAGACCACCATGACATATGTCCATCTTCTACTAGCTAATTGGGAGCTGTCCTCTAATAAATGAAGGCCTTCACACACCATAAAGAATCAACAGATTTCCTATTTTTTTCCTCTTCTTTTTCCAGTGTTAAGTTTTTTGTTTGTTTTGTTTTTGTTACTGATGACTTCCTTGGGTAGTGCATTTCTTTCTTCTTTTCTTGTATTTATGTTGCCTGGAGTGTTTGAAAGACAAATAATCTGCTCATGTCTGATTTTCTTTGTCGTAACGCTTCAAATGCCTCTCTCTTATTGAGCATACATTTTTAGTGATGATTATGTTCAAGTTTGTAAAACGTGTCATTTTGGCTTGTATTTTGAGCTCCTTTGCTCTTTGGAAAACATTATTTCACTCTTTTTGGCAGTTTCTGGTAGGTACAGAAGAGTTTTATGTTCTTTGAATTTCCTTTCCTTTATATTTAAAGATTTTTTTTTCCTGTTTGCTTGTAGAATTTGATGTTTGTCCTTGGAATTGTTCAATTCAACCACTCTGTGTCCTGGAGTTGGGAGCTCAGGGTGCTTTGTTTTTGTTGTTGTTGTTATTGTTTGTTTTTTTCTAGAGGTGATCTGTGGATTCTTTCAATTGACATTTTGCTTTCCATATTCAGAAGTATTAGCTCTCTTTGCATCGTGATATTCAGGTTTTTTGACTTGTATTGTTCCAGGAGAAATATAATCCTTCCATGGTCTCTATCCATCCTGTCCTCACGATCAATATTTTCTTTTAATGTTGCTTTTTGTTCTCTTCTTTCAGATTGTTCTTCACTTCTTTATGTTTACATTGTCAATCTTTGATTCTCTCTGATTTCTTTGGTGTAATTCACCATGACAGATTTAAATTTTTCTAATCTGCCCATTTTTTGCTGTCTAGGCCATGAATTCTGTCCTCACAATTCTTAATTCTCTTGAACCATTTGGAAACAATCTGGTATGGCTTCATATTCTCTTTGGAATCCATGGGGTCCTCTGCTTCACTGGGTATTGATTAATTTTCCTTTTTATTTATTGACAGAGGTATTTGGACTTGTTTAGATGATTGGGAGGCCATATTTCCTTCTCCTGTTAATATCTTCCCTTTTGGTTTTCAATCAAGTTTTTTTTTTCTAGTTATAAAATGTTTAATTCCAAATTTCAATGAAATAGAGATGATGAAAATACTTCAAGCACAGCTGCATATTTTCTTTTTTTAAAATATATTTCCAAGTTAATCATGTTGTGAAAGAAAAACTTGAACAAAAGGGGAAAAAACACAAGAAAGAAAGAAAAAGAAAATAGTGTGCTTCAATCTGCATTCAGACTCCATAGATCTTTCTCTGGCTGTAGCATTTTCCATTGTGAGTCTTTTGGAACTGACTTGGAACCTTGTATTGCTGAGAAGAGCTAAGTCCATCATAGTTGATCATTATACAATGTTGCTATTACTGTGTACAGTGTTCTCCTGGTTCTGCTTGCTTCATTCAGCATCAGTTCATATTGCTTTCCAGGTTTTTCTGAAGTGTACCTGTTCATCATTTCTTATAGCACAATGGTATTCCATGACATTCATGTACCACAGCTTATTCAGCCATTCCCTAACTGATGGGCATCCTCTCAATTTCCAATTCTTGGCAACCACAAAAGAAGAACTGCTGTAAATATTTTTGTACGTGTGGGTCCTTTTCCTTTCTTCTGATCCCTTTGGGATATAGACCTAGTAGTGGTATTGCTGGATCAAAGGGTATACACAGTTTTATAACCCTTTAGGCATAGTTCCAAATTGCTCTCCAGAATGCACTCAAGGTTTTTAATTGAGTTTTCTTCGTCCCAAGATTTTGGTCACTTCAATCTTTTTTCTTTTTATTCCCTTATCATTCACTTTCTGATTCTTTCTTTTTTAATGGCAGTTTCCCTGAGGGCTGGACCTCAAAGCCATCTCAATCTCCTCTCTTACTGGAGAATTCACTTTCCTCCATCCTTACTCTCTTCCCTAAAAGACTTCTGGGGGAAACAGAATTGCCACAGCTGGATACTAGTCCCCTTTCACTCAAGCCTGGTGAAGTCCCTCACTCAAGCTAGGGCCCTATCTTAGTTCCATCAGTTCTCTAGTCTTCTGACTGATCATTGCTACAGGAGAGTGGACTGCCATGCTCCTGCCCAAAGCAGCACAAGCTTCCTCACTTTCCTGTATCTCCACCTCCACAGAATATTACGTGTATACATAGGGGAAAGTGTTTCTAAAAGAAAAGAAATAAAAGATTCTTATCTTCCTTGGAACTGAGCAGAGCTATGAAGGTCCTTCTTTGGATGGGGTTTTTAGGACTGACTATCTTCTCCGGTCTCTGCCATCAGGAATGAATTTGCTGATAATGCTGGGTTTTTGCCCCTCTCTAGGTGGGTGTCAATTGCAGATGAGACCTCTTGCTTTCTCAGGATAAGATTTGATCAATACCTCCTTCAGTAGGGTTATCAGCTGTCTATATTGGGGGGGGCAGGAATCCAGTTTCTGGGCACACATGCTCATTTTTTTGTTTGTTTGTTTTTCATCCTTCTTTGTGCCCATGTCATCAAAATGTATGTTTCTCAACTTTCCACATTTGTCTTATGTATGTTGACTTTTCCCCTGGGGTAGAAAGGTTTTTAAGCTGGGAAGTCTGATTCCAGTCTCTTGAAACTGGCAACCCAAAGCCTCTGGCATTGTGCCCTTGGGCACTGTGTAAGGAAACTTCCCATCATGAACCAAGAGCCAAGAAACCTTCTTAAAGATCATCTTTTCTTTAGGCCAATCAATGGTGGTCAGGATTGCCCTGGCGTTAATTTTGAGTACCAGCTCTGTAACACTGAAGAGTGCTCGAAGCTCTTTGAGGATTTTCGAGCCCAGCAGTGCCAGCAGCGGAACTCCCACTTTGAGTATCAGAACAGCAAACACCACTGGCTGCCCTTCGAGCACGTGGATGGTGAGTAGGGTCCTGTTGCTCATGTCTTACCAAGAACACTTTGAAATTTAAGTTCAAGATCGGTTGGACTTATTGAATTTGACTTGGTGACACAGGAGATAGGTGCTGGTCAGGAACCCTCGCCTGTGTTTTCACATGTGAGGACAAGCTGGGGCTAATAAGTCACAGCTGCCTCTTGTGCTGTGAAATAGGAACGAGGATGAGTGTGCTGGGTAACTGTTCAGGGTCCAAACTGGACTCTTCTTCCTGGACAGTAACTCTCGAGCATTTTGGCTGATGGAGGGTTGATCCAGAACACACACACACACACACACACACACACACACACACACACACACACACCCATTTGTGAAACACAAGAGTATTTAATGAATGGACATTTGGAAATTTTTCTTATTCAATAAAAGTATGTAAGCATATTGCTATAACATGGAATCATGGAAAGAGACTGTGGAGTCAGATGACCTAGGTTCAAATCCCACATTTGATGCTTTCTACTTAATGTGACCATATACCAATCATGTAATGCCCTTCATAAGTAAAATGAGGCCTTTGGTCTATACTCTAGTGTCTACACTCCCTCCTACCTTTACGTCTATGAGCTGTGAAGGGAAAGAAAGGAAAGGAAAAGAAGTAGGGAAGGAAAGGGAAGGGAAAGTAAAGGAAGAAAATAGGTGAGGGAAGGGAAAAGGGAAAGGAAGGGGAGAAAAGGGAAGGAAATAGGGAAAGAAAAGAAAGGAAAGGAGAGGAGGGGAGGGAAGGGAAGAAAAGGAGACGGGAGGTGAGGGGAGGGAAGTACACTCATTCTATCAATGATTATCAGGAGGACTAAGAGAGCAAAAGATTGCAACCTAGTCCTGCTGAGTTCTAGATCTCAGCACCTCCTTGCCTCTATCATCTGTTCCTAAAGATGGAGCTAGAAGAGATGCCACTTCCTCTGGCTGCTTCCCTCGCAGAAGGACAGAAATAGTCAAGCCGTGGCCAGCCCAGCCTTTGGGTTTGCAGGAAGGGAGTTCCACGTGTTGGCACCAGTATATCCAGGGTACTTGGACAAGAGTGAAAAAAGTGACCTTCTCCTTGGATGTTCTGCTCCTTAACTTCCCTAATGGCAGGAGATAAAGTCATTGCCTGCCTAACTTGAGCATCCCTCTCCATTTGAGGCTGGACCCCAGCTTCTTTTGGAATCATGAATTTAGGGAAGCTGGAGGAAAATCAGAAGAATTAATTCTGCCCTGACCAAGTAAACCTATTTCTTCTCAGATCTTTTTTTTTCTGGTGAAAGCTGACATTTTGGATTCCAGGAATTATAAGGCTCCAAGAGAAGCAGGTTGTTGAAAAAACAAGTGTGCAAACCCCCAATAGAGGCAGCATGCATTCGTGCATTACTCGCCATCTACAAAACTCTGAAAAGAGAAACCAGGCCATCAATTGGGAGGCTGTTTGCCTGATCACAATTCAATTCATCTACTCTGGGGTGGGTTTTTTTCAATGTTTTGATGTTTCTACTCTGGCTAATTTTGAGAAAACCCAACACTTCTCTGGCATCTTTAGGAGTGAGAATAAGATCAGTTTTTCACGTCCTATCTGTGAATGTAATGGTCCAGGACTTAAAAGCACTTTAAAATTCAATTTTCCATTTCATCTCCACTCACAGAGTTTTTAATGTGCTGATAAATGGATTGAATTTCTGGCTGAACTGTTACTTCCATTTGATAGGCAGCTATATGATGTCATACTCTTGAAGTCAGGAAATCTTGAATTGAAATCTTGACGCAGACGCTCTCTTTGTGATCCCGGGCAAGTCATTTAACTTTTCTGTGTCTCAGTTTCCTCATCTGCAAAAGGAATGATAGCAATAGCTGTTAGGAGAATCAAATACGATGACTTCTGTAAAGCATGTTTTCAAGCCTTAAAGCTCTATGCTAATGCTAGCTATTTTTATTTAGAGTAAAACAGAGAAAATAACTATGAGATTACAGCACAATGTAGAAGCGTATGACCTCATAAACAATATACGTCGCTGTTTGTCTCTAGGTGGAATAGCAGATAGAGCGCTGGACCTGGAGTTAGAAGGACCTGAGTTCAAATATGACCTCAGGCACTTACTAGTTGTGTGGCCTTGAGCAAATCACTTTAACCCGTTTGCCTCAGTCTCCTCGTTTGAAAAATGGAAATAATAATAACACCTAGCTTCCAGGTTATTTGAGGATCAAGTGAGATAATATTTATAAAGAGCTTAGCACTGTGCCTAGTGTATAGTAGGGGCTTAATAAATGCTTCTTGCCTTAAATTCTCACTCTTGTCTTGAGTACATAGGCAGAATTCATATAGAGATAGCTTTATTAAGAACCCGTGAGAGCCTAGATGTTACGTTCAGTGACTTCACACCCCAAAGAAGTGGTAGCTCTGCTGTACCAGTCTAAGCCGACCAGAGCGTGGCTCAGAATCCGTGCCAGGCTCCTGTGCCTGAAGAGTTCAGACTTACACTTAAAATGCTGAGAACGTGCATCTGTCTCTTGTGCGCCGCTCGCTTTGATTTATTTCTACAGCATCCCTTTTGACTTCAGGCGACTTTGTCGAAACTTTCTATTTCAATCATAAAGCCGGTGCTGTTTAAACAAGTCCGTTAAATGGAAACAGTTGACGCTCTTCTCCACCCTCTGCAGCCAACAAAAGATGCCACCTTTACTGTCAATCCAAAGAGATGGGAGATGTTGCTTATATGAAACAGCTGGTGCACGATGGAACCCGTTGTTCTTACAAAGACCCATACAGCATCTGTGTGCGAGGAGAGTGTGTGGTACGTTCAAAGCGATTCCCGACATCTTTATGCATTGTCTTACTCTTCCAATTTTCCTTGTTTTATCATCCGGAGTAGGGGGGATGATAGAGATGTATTGGGAGGGGGTCCTTTGGGTAATTCCTTAACCCTTCCCTCCAAATGCCTATGTGGACAATTTGGACCCGACCTGTGGTAGAGCCTTCTGGGCTCACATTGCTCTAATCAGCCCCAGTCAGATGCTCTGTACCTTGACCCCAAAATAGTGATGTCATTTTGGTCCTCTTTGAGAACAAAGGACAACAGCCAAGCAACCCTTGAAGAGTAAGGTAATAGCATAGTTCTGGAAGACCATATTCGATTTCTATACCTAAGTTAAGTTGTGTCTCTCATTGCTCCTGTAAAGGGCAGCAGGATGTAGTAACAGCAGCTATGGTCATAGTAGCCACAGTGATGATGGTAATGGCTGAAGAACACAGACCACTAAACTTGGAATAGAAAGAGCAGAGTTAGAATTCTGTCCCACATATGGGCAAGTCAGTTAACCTGTCTGTGCCTCATTTTCCTCATCTATAAAACGGGGATGATGATAGCACCTGCTTCACAGGGTCGTTTGCAGGCTACTAGTGGCCCGGTGAATAGAACACTGGGCCAGTAGTCAGGAAGACTCAACTTCCTGAGTTCAAATCTGCTTCAGACACTTAAGAGCTGTGTGACCCTGAGCAAGTCACTTGACCCTGTTTGCCTCAGTTTCCACATCTATAAAATGAGCTGGAGAAAAAAAAATGATAAACTACTCCAGCATCTTTGCCAAAAAAACCCAGATTGGGTCACAAAGAGTCAAACAGGACTGAAAAATGACAACAATAACAATAACAAAGGGGAGTTGGGGGGACCCAAAGAAATAATATTCACTAAACACTTTGTAAATCTTAAAGCACTTCAGAAATTATAACTCTTACGTATAACCTATATCAAATTGTCTACCATTTTATGAAGAGGGGAGGGGAGAAAGGGAGAAAATTTTGGAACTCAAAATCTTATAAAAATGAATGCTAAAAGTTGTTTTGACATGTAATTGGGAAAAAATACTTTTAAAAAAAGAAACTTTTTTTAAAAGGTTAAAAAGGAAATTGTAGCTCAATTACTATTATTGTTATTATTATTACCTATGGGACTAAAGACAAGTCATTTATCCTCTCTGGGCCTCAGTTTATTCATGAAAAAGTCATATATACTAAGTGCTAAGCAAGTAGTACAAATTAATGTAGACCAGGGAGATGCAAAGTCCTGCTGCTAAGGAGTTTATAGTCTAGTAAAGATAATGTCTTTAATTTGATCCACAATTTATGACACATCAGTCCAGAAGGGCAGGGAAGGAGAAAATATTTAATTGGCTCAGTTTTACTGCTTATAAACATTTCTTTAAACAGAAAGGGGAGATGGAAGCCAGGGAGTTGTGGGAAGTTTCAGATCGTGTGCGGTGTTTCACTTACCCTGGTTGGGCTGATCTCGGAACAGTCTAGTCCTAACCTGGCAGCTGTGTGGTCATTTTTCTGCAGAAAGTGGGCTGTGATAAAGAGATTGGTTCCAATAAGGTTGAAGATAAATGTGGAGTCTGTGGAGGAGATAATTCTCATTGTCGCACCGTGAAAGGAACATTTACCAGAACTCCCAAGAAGCCTGGTAAGATCAGTGTTTGCTTGCATTCGTGTATATTTGGGTCAATGCTAGTACATTATTATTTACAAATGAGAGATTTTCCAAATCCTTTCCCCTCCCTCTGCAAGCTACTCTATCACCTGAAGTCCATACTGGCGTGTGTATATACGTGTATGCACACATGTGTATGCATGCATGCATATGTGTGTGGCTATATACATATGTGTTAAGTTTGCAGTTTGCTAGATGAACATGTAGTTATTTGTAATAGGATCTATTCATTTGGTTATTTCAGTGTAATTATATTCTTAGGAAATATACACATTTATAAATTACTTTACTGAATTCATATATTTCTCAGTACTTGTGTAGGAAAAAAATCTTATGGAGATTAAATAATTATAACCATTTAAAATTCTTCTTTGTAAACAAAAAGCAAACAAATGGAATACTTGCATGACATAAGTCTTTTATTTGGTGATTTTTTTTTAAATTTTCAATTAAACTTGCAAAAGTCTGACAAGGAATGCAAAATCTTGTTTTTAGTTGTTGTGATTTTATGTTCTGTGCTCTTTAGCTTTTTTTATTTTCATAGTGAACAGGTTTGTTCTGCCCCTGTGTCTTCTAAGAATACAAAAGTCAGGCTTTAAATCATTTTTAGATGACAACTTTTAAATTAGAATTAAGGTTCTACTAAAAAGGGAGATGTTTGCTATTTGGCACATATCCTGCCTCAGATGCTCACTAGCTGTTTGACCCTGAGTGAGTCACTTAACTTCTCTGTGCCTCAGTTTCTCCATATGTAAAATGGAGATAATAGCCCCTACCTCCTAAGGTTCTTGTGAAGATTAAATGAGATAACATAGGTAAACTGCTTTGTAAACCTGAAAGCACTATTATTGAAAATTATTATTATTAAAGCTATTAATATTCTATAAGTGTGGAAGCAAGAGATTCTATGAAAGGAAAAAGGCCTGTTAATATTAAATTGGATGTCTACTTTTATAACAGTTTACAGTAGGATTTAGTTTTCATGGATGACATTAACATGATGCAATATTTAGCTCCTTCTGTACACAAAGTAATTCACAAAAGTGCTAATGTTCTATAAGTAAGTATTTTCAAGATTTGAATTTTTTCAGGGACCTTCAAATACAAATGTTTTGCTCTAGGACAACTTATTTTCAAAAGGGGATCCCCTACAACTAGTCAGATACTTATTGAGCATTGCTGACTTTCCATAGTAGCAAGTATTGTTCGCCCATTTCAACAATGAAGGGATACCAAATGAGTGTATGTTGTGTGCTCGGGATCATGACAAGATCCCTGTGTTGACTAACTCAGAACCCATGGAATAGACCAGAGTTTCTCCATTCATTTTTATGTTTCTCTTGTGAAGATACAAACCTACCAAATTAACCTGGGTATGCGCAGATAAATCTGATGGAAGGAAACCATGTCAGACCAGCCATTGGTTAGCTTTTTTTCCTATGGCCTTGATCTGAACCATCATAGAGTTGACTCATTGAAAAGAATCTTTCCACTTTATGTAGCTCATAGATGGTAGTGGAGTTCTTAGGATTTCACGCTTCAAGAAAATGTCAAGATGATCCTGTGAGTTCTCCCATTTTGCAGATGAGCGTATTGAAGCCCAGAGAGGTTCATCAATTTGCAAAGGTCATAAATGGTGGAATCAAGATTCTAGACCCTATTACTCCAATACAATGCTTTTTATTATACCAAACTGTCTCTGACAGTATGTGTAATATTACTGATCCATAATCCCCCATCTTTATGATGGAATGAAATACTTTTAGAAAACGGTTAATTAGTTCCATGTCATTAACATTATAAATGTTCAGTCACTGAATGCAACCAACATAATATATGATGATTTTGAAGTAGGATTAGGATATAAAATATTAACAGCATTATTGCAATATTATGGGACAAGTTTTATGGCTCATGTATTTTATGTAAAAATTTTTGATGGGATATGATTAAGCTTAGTGACTCCTTATGGGTGTGATTTTTACAAAGTGAAAATCACGTGTTCGGTAGAACATTTCCTCTTTGTTATATATTACTCTTTTGGGGCCTGAGATAGGCGTTGAGGAGCATTTCTGTTCTTGTGTCAGACACCAGTATTGTATGGACACGAGCATATCACACATTTTCACAGCACTTCCTTTTATGCCTTCCAAAGCTATCTTAACCCAGTCTCTGAAAGACTGGGGGAAATAGCAAACTTGATAAAATTCAGACTGGAATATCATTGTTACCAAAATGGCCCCCATGGAAAGGGATGTTTTAAATTTTTAACTTGCCCACAACTGTTATTCTTTCCAATTATTTTACTCCTTCACGGGCCAACAACACAAATCAAAGTTATTTCAATGCTATCTTTATTCAGTACAATCCTCCTTTGAGGAAGTAAAGGTGGGTTCATTAGGATTTGGGCCCCTAATCCATTCCCTCCATCCCAATATTTTTGAGCACTGCTGTCCAGAATTATTGGTGTGTAATTTTTTTATGATGTAAAGACCATATTTAAAATATTGTTATTTATTATGAGTTTATGAGTTATATTATTGTGAGTTATATTATTATGAGTTATGTTGTGGTCATCCTATAAGCAATCTCCCTGAAAAAAATCGAATATTTATTAAGTGCCTACTATGTGCTAGTCACTGGGGATACAAAGAAAGGCAAAAACAGTCTCTGCTGTGAGGATTCTTAAAGTCTAATGAAGAAGGCAACGTCCAAACAACTATGTACAAACAAGATATTTACAGGATAAATTAGAGGTTATCAACCGAGGAAAGGCATTAGCACTAAGGGGATTGGTTGAGCATGAATAACTTACTGGGTTTTCTTTCTAAACAAAGTCCATGGATATCTAAAAGAGCATTTAAAGCATAATAACTCATTCCATATCAAAGTTGTATAGAATAGGGATGACATTTCATACAGCATAAATATCACCCTGTCAGAATAAGGCAGAGGTTATGAGAATGAGCCCTGCCAGTGAAAAAATGTTAGAGAAGGGTTTCCTCAGATCCAGATCCCAACTCTAATTCCCTGTTAATTTGACATCAGTTGCTTTGCCGGGGGTCTTGACAACATAGTCATTCAATAGACTAATTAACCTCTTCCAACAGGGAAACACTTAAGCAAGAGGTGCCAAAAGGAACTCAAGTTACTGGAAAATGAAATCTGCAAGTATCCAAACTTAAAATCACCTACATGATTTTTCATTCATATTTAGTCTTATTTTCATTGACTATTAATTTGTCTCAGTTTTATTTACATTGATAAAATGCCTGTGGTAGACAAATATAGTCAATGAAACAAGACTGTAGTTCCTCCAAGCACTAACATAAGGCATTTTATTTAAGGGAAGACAAGAGGAGCCTTCACATTGCCCAAAGGAGCTCGCAATGTATCTCTTTATGAAACAAAGGCCGCTAAAAATGTTCTGGGTGAGTTATGGTAAATGGAAATGGCAGCAAGATGGGCCTCTGCGACTGGCATAAAGGAGTTGGCTGCAATGGCTTCTGGAGCTTGGCACTTAAAGCATCCCAGCTAGAGGCAAAAGTGGTACATTTCATGTGTTTTATGATTCACAAATAAGGCTGTGTTATTGGGGCACCACAGAAGTCAGTCCATTCAGTCAAGTTGCTAAAGTATTCTGGGAGAAAAACGATGAGTATACTGCTTTGGTTAATTGCACTGAATATTTGACTGAATTGATTTGTTGATTTTGCCTTTGGGCATAGACTTTGACGATCTCTGCAGTGAGTCATCCTAAACTACAGTCTCTGACTTCAAGGATGAAAAATAAACCTCTGTAACCACCAACACAAATACTGGACATAAAGTTGTTGCCTAGAGGCAAAAGTGGCACAGTAGATAGGGTGCTAGATCTGGAGTCAGGAAGACCTGACTTCAAATCCAGTCTCAGACACTTACTAACTATGACCCTGGGCAAGTCACTTAAACCTATTTGCCTCAGTTTGCTTATCTGTAAAATGACCTAGAGAAGGAAATGGCAAAACCACTCCAGTATCTTTGC